AAATTAATTTTAATTATTAATTAAATCATTTATTAATAAATTAAATATTCAAAGAATTTAATTCGTTACAAATATCATTTAAACTCGTAATATTATACACTTTTCTAACATAACAAAGTATTTTTTCCAAATTCCTAAAATATGAATTTGTAACTAATAACAATTTATCATTAACCATTGCCTCTATACTTCTATAAGCAACTTCTAATTCTACACGTTTTTTATCTTCGAGACTTATACTCCAATCCATATTTTGTCTTTTATCTAATAATTTTTTACCCAATACATCAATTTCATTATTCAACCCATTTTTTTCCTTTTTCCTATTTGTTTCATTTAAAAAATTTACAACTTTTAAAATATTATTAAATCTCATATTATTAATTTCTTCATAAATTGTTATTCCTTCACTAATCACGAATATACCAAATACATCTACTTTATATTCGGATAATTTATCATCAAATTTCTTAACATCATTAATCATATCCTTTTTCCAATATCCGTGACTACATTTTTTATTTTTCACTTTGCAATCATCACAAACAGATCGAAATTTACATTGTACTAATAAAGGAATACCTTGCCATCTACACCAAATATCTGTACCATCATCTCCAATTATAGTATATTTTCCCGTATTAATAATTTCCAATTCACTCACAGAACCATCATCTAACAAAACTATATTTCCTGACCGTAAACATTTTTCATTATCTTTCATTAATAATCGTCTACCAGTAATTATGTAATTTTTAATTATTTTTGGATTCAATCCATTTCTTTTCAAATATAATCCAACTTTACACTCAAATGTATCACCTTTAACCATGCATTTATTCTCAAAATCATAACTAAATTTAGCATTTTGTAATTCTGAATATTTCGTAACCATTTTTATTAATAATAAAACAAAAATCATTTATTTATATATCTGATTTCAATTAATAATACATAATATCAATTAATAATATTCTTTTCTTTGGTATCCTAATGCTCCACCTTCATGTGACCATAATGATGATCTGCCTTCAGTTTTCTCAGTTTTCTTTTTTGAACTAATTGTACCACTATTTCTATAACCAATATTATTTCTTTTTCTATTTTCTTCAATGC